ATTAATTTTTTTTCTGTCAATTTTAATATAGTCTACAAAGACTGAAGTATCTATAAGATAAATTATTAGTGGCCAAAAGGGTTAGATATTTTGGATGAAAGATATTATTGGTGATATTAGCTTATATGTTTATAWATGGCTATACAATATCCGTTCATATAAGGCATTTTATAATCCAAAAGAATAAGCTAAATKCAAAAARTATTAATGAGTTGACAAAACTGAACTGTAAACAATAATTAACATTTATTTTTACGTCAGATAAAATGGATGAGATCGTCCAATAATATGACTTTTTTTCGTTTCATGGATTAATAATAGGCACTCGTTGTAAAACTTAACATAAAATATCTTTTATTTTTGTAGAATATTTTATGGTAGTAGAAGATGCATTAGCAACATATAAGCCAGAATGCGTGTCTCAAATAAAACAAGCAAATCAAATGATCGACTATTGTCTTAAAACCGATCATGGAGCTAAAATGATTGAAAACAAATTCAAGTAATACATGTGAACCTATATTATGACCTACACTGCATGTATACAATTTGTTTTTGAAATGTTTTAGGTTGTGTGATCCCTTAGACAGAAAAAATGAAAAAGATGTATCGTTTTTGTTTGAAATATTAGCTGACAATTTCGCAAMAATTGTACAATACAATAAAGACAACAGGCATTATAGAAATCCTGAACGGTCTTCCGTAACATTAGAAACTTTGTGTGATATTATGGTTAACAAATCAATACCAACTCCAGTAAGTTTATGTTCACATATATTAGGATTCTGGGTAAAATGATGAATAAAAAATGATAAAAAGAATATAAGAATAATTCATTATAAGAATAATAATGAATGATAGGTAGGTACACCTATGGTTTTACAATAATGTGTATATTGTGTATAGTAAAAAATAAATATCATAGTCTGTCGACTGTCATTGCATTGTTTCTAAACAGAAAAATGCTTAAATATTATATTTAAAGTGTGAATTTTAGTATCAAACTGATTTAGGTTAGTTGTTAAAGTATTCAATTTTATATTTCAAAATAATCGATTTAAAACAAAAATAAAATTACCGAATATCGGGAATATTTATACATAATATCTATACAGTTTAAGAGGAAATTAATGTAGTTTTTTTGTTGTGTTTAAAAACGAACAACCGTAGAGACTTGAAATTCACATCATTATTATTTAGATTTATTAGATTTTTCTAGACATTTAGGAATTTACAAATAATTTTCGATGCTTTTGTGCTATTTATTCGTGTAGACAATTAAAAAATGTTTGAATATTAATGAATATTTTTTAAACGAATTTTAATATTATGCAATTATATTGTACAGAAAAAAAGATTTTAACGATTTTCAAAACTCTTCCAAAACCTGAAAAATTACGTATATAATTTATTAATTATATAAGATCATGATTATATCTTTATTATTATTTTCCAGTATTATATGACTTTTTATGTACCTCAGGCTTATAGCAAAACTGTAATTTTATAATCATATTGTTTTAGTTAGATAGRTATGCAGCTGTTAACAGTAAATTATTATCCTTGAATGGAGCAGATTGTCAAGATAATATTTATTCCCAGTTAATTGATTTGTATTCAAATACATCTTGGAGTAGTAGTGCAGCAGAAGGAGGTTTGTATTGTGTTTTTTACTTGTAAGTTAGTTATTTTTTTCAACTAGTTAAAGTTTAGTTACTTTAATACAACAACTAACTAAGTTAAAATATAATTTAGTTTCTGAAATTTTACAAATTTCTCACTTAGTCAGAAAGTTATTTTTACAGCTTAAAATATAAATTTTAAATCCATTTGTTCAAAATATGTTAAGCATTACATAAATTAATTACTTAGTGTTTTGGTATTTAACTTAAATTATTGGTGTAACTGATAATTTGATCTAATATCTTAACTTTTAAACAGGTAGGTATATAGGACGTAGGTAAGTACCTAATAATCATTATTTCTTGGAAACAAATTGTAACATCAAACATTAGAACACAGAATGTATAACAAAATAAGATATAAACAATATGATAATATATTTGTACCTATAATATGTGATTAACGTGTATTACAAGAAATATAGGTACCTATATATTTTATTTTAATTTTATCTATTAATTATACTGGCTGGGGCCTTTTGAAAATAAACATCAAATAATTGTGATTACAGCCACGTTAGAAAAAATAATATAACCAAAACAAATAAGAAATAAGAAAAAAATATGACAAAAAGATTTTTTTATCATAAAATTGAAAAACTAAATTTATTATTAACGACTTATGAACGTGGATAAAGTCTATAGATACTTATATACAGTTATAGTCGGCACTCGGCACTCAGCAGTTTTACGGAACATTTTAATTTTTGGAAC